AACTTTTAGCCTTTGGTTTCTCTAATTAAATGGTCAACAAAAGTAACAAATACGTGGTTGTTTTCTCTGCCATGTTGGTTGTGTTGGTGCTAGGATTTACTTGCAACTAAGACAACATAATAATGTCCCTTTTTTCCCCCTTACACTGAGGGGCATATGTTCATTTAAAGAATGACCTTTAAATACATAGTAGATTGCAGGAAACTCTCCAAATACGATTTTTAATCATCACATGCTATTCATCATCACAGTTGCACATTTAAAAACTCTTATTCAAGATTTGACTTAAAAATAGTTACATTAGTAACATTATGGCCAGCAGTAACATTCATAGTTGAGCGAAACGAAACAAAAGTAATTGAATCTCATGCTTCATGAAGAGGATTTATTTAGTTTTTCTCATTGGATACGGCTGTGCGTTGCTAACAACCAGGTACCAGCCTTTGCTGGAATCAGAATATTAGACTTGACAGACCACTGGGCTGAAATGATCTGGCAAAAGCAGCATGTTTAACCACAGTCCCCTGGATAACCGTCACACGGTAGCACCTTTGAATCCCCAGCGGCCTGGGCAGACAGGGAACCCGGCGGTGGAAGATCCACAGAACCGTGCTGCACCACACAGCGCAGGGCAGCGCCAGCACTGCCGCGGGCTCCCAGCGCGGAGCGGCCCCAGCATCACAGCACCCTCACGAGCTCAGCGAGCCCTGGCCCTCCGCGGGGCCTGGCACGCACCCGCTGCTGCGGTCACTGCACGCGAGGTCCAGGAGCAGCCAGGGGTTCTGTGCCCCGTGCCACTGCGTGCTGCAGGCAGGACCTCAGGTCCTCTTACTGATGTCCTGAACTCCACAGTTCTCCTCACCACAGTGAATGTAGCATCACAGCACCCTCACGAGCTCAGCGAGCCCTGGCCCTCCGCGGGGCCTGGCACGCACCCGCTGCTGCGGTCACTGCACGCGAGGTCCAGGAGCAGCCAGGGGTTCTGTGCCCCGTGCCACTGCGTGCTGCAGGCAGGACCTCAGGTCCTCCTACTGATGTCCTGAACTCCACAGTTCTCCACACCACAGTGAATGTTAATAGAGTGCCAGTAGTGAAATAGCTCTTAGCCAATATTTGACTAGGTTTTAAAGACCTTTTTGAATTTCCACTGCCCCATCCCATCCTGAAATTAATCTGAGATGTGCTGTGTCTTGTCTGAAATGTCAAGATTTCATCTCTAGAATCTCTTTTTGTCTTTTGCTGACAGAATAAGGACATTTCTACTGGAAACATATTCCCTGCTCTCCCCCTCCACCCAGCCAAGTATTTCTTAATTTTAATCATATCACACATCGCTTCTGGGTAAATCAGAATTTCTTCTTTGATTTTAAAAGCTGATTCCAGAATTTGATCATTACTGTAGCCTTCTTTCTCCTTCAAAACGCAGAAACTGTCTACACTATGCCTGAGGAAGCTGACCCCATGAAATGCCCTCCAAATCAGAGTATTAGAGAATAATGCCTGAGGCCTCACCTGGCCTCAGGAAGTTCATATAGCATTTTATTTTGCCCTTGAAGTTGATGAAAGTTAGTTAAGTGTCAAGTGCAACTCAAACAACAAAATATTTTAAATGTAAATTCTGATGAACTACTTTCATTAAAAAGAAAGCGATTTATTTAGAAATGTATAAGGTTATCCCATTCCTTATGGTATGAAAAAGACCATAAAGGGAAAACCTTTACCCGAGTTGAACCACAAAGTCTCATGCAAGCATGGCTCATTGCCTCCACCAACTGAGGATGCAAGAGTCACACAGGAACATTACAGGTGAACACACGTGGCACGCTGAAGGGTTGCTAAAATCTGGGAAAGACTCATTACTGAGAAGCAGCATATGCCAAGTTAGGAGCAGGACATGGAATGACGTCGCAGAGCAACCTTAGCACTACTAGGAGGACAGATGCTGATTAGAGGTTTTTGGGTGCAAAGAGAAAGGAAAGAGGGCATCTTGCACTGACCAGGGCATCATTTTACAGCTGATCTGGAGACAACTGAGATGGTAATAAATAACACTGGAGACATAGCCATACCTCTGAACTGTTCATGTCCCTCTGGCTCATGAAACTACAGTTCTCCCAACAGAAGGTGCCTTTACCTGTTTTGCCACCTGTGTCTCCAATTTGTTGATCAGAACTTCCTTTCCTTGCATTGTGCCCATCAGCTCCTGGTACTTCCTGTACAGAGTACTCTCTGATTCACTGGTCTTCATGTTGGCTAGTTTTATTTTCTCTTCCATAACTCTGTTCTGGAAGGGTAATCAGAGGGAGATCAAAATTCAAGCAATGCAAAAGGAATGAGCTGTTTGTCTAGTGCAAGACCTTGACTGACTGAGTTCCAGGCTTTGTATTTATTAAGTCAGGAAAAGAAGAAAAAGAAGAGTCATGCTTTTTATTTTCATATATATGAAAGTAACATTGCAACATTGGAATATTGACAATAGCGTTCACTTGCAATGCTGAGGCAGTAAAGGATGCAAACTGAAATGTGATAAGCACACCAGACTGTGAAATACTCACACATTACTGGTAAAGGAGACAATATAAGAACCATACTATATACAGATATATGGGTAAGCTATGACACATTTTCCTCCTTTGCAATATCACAGCCAGCTTTTTACTCCGTTCACTATCGGGATGCACATCACAAAAGCCATTTGTTTCAGGTCAAGACTACTACAGGGAAATGCATTAAAGAGTTTATTCCTCTTAAAATCCTCAGCTTTAATAATGGCTTGGCAGCTTATGGCTTTCTGACAAGTGTTCTCTCCAATCCTGCTATAAAGCTATTATGAAAAATATTCTGGAAGCTTTGTCCATCTTTGAGCTTCTGCCAGTATCAACAGTAGTTCATCTGAACAGAAGAAGCACCATCACAGTTCATTCACTAGAAACAAGATTGCAGTACTGTAAAATTCAGCTGTTCATGAAGCCTTTCAGGTTTTGTAAGTTAATTCTGAAAACTTCCTCACTTTCTCCCAAATCTGTGTGTCCCAACATCCCAGTTTCTCTGCTTTATCATTACCTCATCCTATTGCATCAAGTTATAAGGGCTTCTAAAGGTGAATATATTTCCTCCAGCTTAACTCGGGCCCCGTAATTGAAGCACTTGATGATGGACAAATACTTGGTTCCAGCACATCCCAGGGGGACTGAATCTGCAAAGAGTGCAGCCCAATTCCAGATGCCATCAGCTTGGCACAGGTTAGGAGGCGGAAGGCAGAGTGCAGGCAGTGACCTGCACCGAGCCTGCGTGACAGAGCTAGAGCTGCTCACGCTCTGCTGGGCAGCCTACACCTCCTGCCTACAGGAGCTGCGCTTTGTCCTCCTGTCTGCCTGCATTAGACAGGCAAATTGCCTCTTCCTCATACTCAGTCAGAAAGGCAGGCGCCCAACATTCAAGTCAGAACTCTAAGCCTGCTGAGTCGGATGTGTTTTCGTTAGAGTTTAGGGTGATTATAGTGAAAACGAATGGCCCCTCCTTTCTGTCTGATGCCCAGAGGCTGGAGGCTCACAGCGGGGACTGCAAACATGTGATTTCTCTAATTGAGGTTGGCAGCTGCAGGGAACCTATTGCATTAGCAATCCAAACTCCAGGCTCCTGGAGTGAAAGATAACAAGGGATTTTATATTCAATGTGGAGCCCTTTTCATTTGACAGTTGTTTCTCATTCATACTAAATAAACCTGTTTATTGAAGGAGATGCCCCAGCTCCTCATGCTGTCACTTCTTCAGGCTGCCAAACAGAACTGAAGCATTTCTTTAGCAACACTTTTCTCTGGGTGTGGATTAGCCTGCCCGTATGGCAGGGACGCTGCAGCTTTTGGGGGTTGATATCTCAAAGACTTGCCAAAAACATGGCTGCAGAGCTGCTGGTGGCATGCAACCTTCCATATAACTCATTTCTGTCAGGGTATCCATCCCACATCTTCCCAGCCTAGTTCTTTGCTCTTCATGATTTTACGTGCTCTCCTTCTGCACCCTGGTGTCACTGTACCTTTCCGTACCATGGATACTTTGCTCCTATCATCAAAATATCAAGAAGTATATGGATACTCCTTCAATGAAGGAGGTATTATGACACCTCCTTCATTGGCCTGTGGGGAAAACCACATTCCCTGTTGTTTTTCTGGTTGTGTGGGGACTTAACAATACCAGTCAGGTACAATTCTTACTGTTGTTGGCAATTGATGATCTAATGTAAAGGCCAACAGCAACTATATATAGTATCTCTGCTATTGTCGAGTTGGTTAGAAAAAAAATAAATAAATCACATTTTCCAATACCAAATGGATGAAGCCTCAAAATGGCCTATTCCACACAGGCCTTATCAGCCTTTTCAAGTCCCTGATTACCAGTATGTTTCCTGGTGTTTATACTACAGGTTATTTCATCCTTCACTACTGAAGTCCTCTTTGTAGTCATTCTTTGACATCCTGCTAGTGGATATTGGTCCATTTTAAACCTGCCCTTTGGCAGTGGTTTACCAGGATGACAGGATCTCAGACTGTCTGGCCCTTCCTGGTCCTTTGCTTTTATAATACCTCTTACTGGGGGGATTGAGCTTTCTTAAAGCCCAGTATTCTTGCAGGCCTCTTCACAAGTTGAAGTCTGTCTGTCTGTCTCTCTTTCTCCTCCCATTACTTAAGTAACACCAAAAAGTACATGGCTACAACCATGAGCAATGAATCCTGCTCTTAATGTCTCTCTTCACGGACTCCTGAGCCAGAACAGCATTTACTGAAACTACTGATGGGTTTTGTAGACATGCTGTACCTGTTTCCAGAATCTCTCCTACTTGTAGGCAAGTCCTATCCAGGGCTTCCTTGTTTTCTGAGGTCCCAATAGGCAGCTCGCTGTGCTTTAATCCTGAGGTACAACACCCTCTTCCTTTTTCAAAAGCAGCTGTGCCACCACTCAATAGTTCATTTGCTTCCCTCAGGAAGGAGGAGGAAAGGGCTCCTCATGAAGCAGTGAGGCAGATGCAACGCACCGGCTTTTACTTAGGGTTAAACCTGTTCAGGAACTTGCTCATAGCTCAGGCTGAAAGGCTGGGGCACATGACCAGGAAAATCACTGCATGACTATAAACCAATGTTTCCCTAGCAGGGCAGAACATTGCAGAAAGCTGTCTGCATGCTAGAACAGAGGGAGTTTAGAATAAGCTCCTGCAGGGTTTGTATTAGAGCACAGCAGAATTTCTTACCTGTTTCTCTGCATCTTCAGCTCTTTGCTCTGCTTCTATCACTCTCTGCTCCAATTCCTGCATCTTTAGATACAGAAGAAAAATAAAAAAGGGCGTGGGGTAGGACAGAGAGAGGCAAAAACAAACAAACAAACAAAAAAATCCACCAAAACAAACATTACTTTGTATTTCACCTGCTTGGCTTGGGAGTTTTTCATTCTCTTGTGCAGGACTACAGATCTTTGGCGCCTTTTTTTTTTTTTTTGCCTTAACTAGACAGCTTTGACCAAAAAAACAAAAACCTTTACCTCTTCTAGTCCTTTCTTGTGTCCCATTTCGAATTTGCCAGAACTGTTTCCTCCTTAGCGAGCTTTGTCAGTCATTACAAGGGTCAAGGGAATATTTCCAGAGTCTCGACCTCTCTGCAATTTGCACATCATGGGCTGTCCCTGCAAGGAATCTGTCTACAGTTCTCCATTCTCCCCTGGGTTCATTCCAGCCAGGATTCATTCATGACAGTAAACATATCCAGATACACCCTGGCAAGCTTGTCTATTGGCCACGAAGCAGCACATTAGTTTGCTTTGGCTTTAAGAGCATGATAGGCTCATAACTGACAGGAGAACAATGATCTTAATTTTCCTGTGTTGCTTCTCATTTTAAAGAGCTTTCGCAAACTGCCAGTTCTGTGATCCTTAATCTAGCCATTGTCTCTACTGAAGTCAAAGGACACTAAACAGAATTTGCTCCAAAATGTACAAAAATCTCTTCATTTAGGCATATCTGGGGTGACACAAAGTTAACGTTTCATAACATGGAACAGAAATATACCACTGGGAGAGATAAAACAGACCCTCTATCTGGGTGCAATTGGTTTGCATTCTCTACTTTCACACCTGTTTTATTGAAACATGTATTTTGTGATTGAATCATGCTAAAAATAATCAAAAAAGAGCAGATTTCATCTCCCCTCCTCTAACAGCTTACCGCTAGAGCATTTTTGATGGCTACTTGCAAAGTCTTCCAGCATCTGCCCTGCTTTGATGAGTCTCAGATTTTAGCCCAACACTGATAATTCCATGGCACAATTTCAGTGACTGATCTGCACAATTCAAGGGATGCTTCACAGAGTTTCCAGAACTTTCTAGAATTCTACTGATGCAGGAATTACACAGAAGCAGTCTCAGAAGGCTAAAAGAATTGAACTCAGTTCCCCTTAAAATTTGTTCTTTGCATGGAGTACTTTTTCTCTAATGCACTTTATGCTTCCAGATATATCACTGGAGCTAAGTATTCAAGTTGGGCACTGTGAGGACCAAGCCAATACTTCTGAAAATGGGGCTTCTTCACCTTAGGTTGATCACCCTGAATGTGGGTTCCTGTGTTTCCATTTCCCATACTTTGGCTGGCAAAGACACTTTCCATAAGCACACACTGCGATCATATGAACAGGCTGATGTCTTTAGACAAGCAGATCAAAAGGGCGCACACATGAAGACAAATTAACAATCATATAACCAAAATATTTACCACACCATAACAAATATGGGCCATGAAGATCAGCAAGTACCATATTCACTGCAATACCTGTCTCGGATTGTTTTTTTTTCCCCTCCAGGAGATAGGTCAAGGACACCACACTCCATAGAGCTTAAATTCCAAACCATCAAGGACATTTCTTTGGCAGGGAAACAAGAGACATTGTAGAGGATCACACAGACTGCCAAAGCCCTGGCTAATCTGACAAAAGACCCAGTCTGATCATCTATGGCAGGGACCAAGCCCGAGGCCATCTGATACTGACAGCAGTAATCTAGGTTGTGACATGAGTCTGTGTCCTTTAGGAACAGAGATCTAGCCATGCATTTCCCACTGGATAGCGGGAAACAACTGGATAGTCCTCACCACAAACAGGTAGCAGTCAGGTCTGTTGGTAAAAGATAGATACTAGCTGGAGACATAATACATGTTGGGGGGGAAAAACAAACAAACAAACAAAAAACAAATAAAAAACAGGCTCTTTCTGACAGTTCTGGAGTCAACAGTATCTGCTAGTTTTCTGATACAACAGAGGCTACAATCACAGCATGGATTTTAGATACACTTCTGGGCTTTTCCCCCAACGCTAGGAACTCATGCTGATAATTTGATTCTCCACAAGGTGGGAAAACTCCCTGAAAGACTCAGGCTATTTTAAGAGGACAGCACTGTTCTCTGATCAGGACAGAACACGTATGTCATGACCATTC